CTTGGTAGCAGTAGCACTAGTGGTAGTATTGGTAGTAGTAGTAGTAGTAGTAGTAGTAGTAGTAGGTAGTAGTAGTAGTAGTAGTAGTAGTAGTAGTGGTAGTAGTAGTAGTAGCAGTACTAGTATCAGTACTAGTGGCAGTAGGGGTGGTAGTAGTAGTAGTAGTAGTAGCAGCAGCAGAAGCAGAAGCAGTAGTAGTAGTTATTAGCAACAGGAAAAGAGTCGCAAAGCTTCAGAGTCCGAGGCTTCGACTCTTGAGGAATGTGAGTTGGGGATGCTGAGGCCACAGTTCTGCGCCGCAACAACCTACACCGCCCCACGAGATTATGGTTCAGGGCTCTTGGGATTTGGGTTGAGGCTGTTGAGGCCTTTTGAGAGCTCCGAAACCCTAAGTGTGCCGCCCTTGCCTGACACCCGCACGCAGCGCCGCTGCACCCCCGCGGCACTCGCAGGGGGCGCCGCCGCCCCTGCATGGAGGGGAATACTCTGCTTTTCGGGGGCCTCAGCTCGTTGATGAAGCTTTTGGTTTTGGTTCACGTTCCTTCTCGTTGCGACTGCTTGTGTTTTCAAGACATGCGATGGCTCGGGGACCTTGCATCGACCGCTGCAACGAGTCTCTTGTCCATCCTGTCATCTTACAGCAGGCGCCCCTCATGATAACATGCGTTCCAAACCACTTGCCGTCTCTGTGCCATGGTGCCGCCTCCAGCGCCGTGGATGCTATGGCTCTTGCCCGACTCATGGACTTTGAGCTTCCCACGAAACACCAGACATGCTGCTGAACTCCTAGGATGTTGTGATGCTTTTGACAGCTCCTTGCCTGCGATCGATTCTCAATGACCGTAGGGCTCCAGCTATTTAGGGCTCCTATCTCCTATGATTCACAGAGCTTCGTGATGCACCGAAGGGCCCGAACCTGAAACGCCTGGGGCGTGTGAGGGAAACCCTCGGGCCGGGGGAACTGAAACTTCGATGCAAAGACCCTGAGCTCAAAACAAGGACAGAAGAAGTCATGCAGCAGCACTTATACGGTCCAGGGTGCTAAGACTTATCTGCTCGAGGTTTCCCAGAACCAAACGCAACCCTTTCCTCGTCGCGGTGCCTGCAGGGCCGGTATGTATAACTTGCGATCGCTCGCGATTTCGGGGAGGTTCCCCCGGCTCCACGCCGGGGTCCGGTGCTAAAGTTAATCTGAGCTCCTCGGAGACTCCTCTCGGCACGGAGGGGTTGGATTCGGCTAGGCTGATCCCTACCTTATCCCGTTCTCTCTTAGTGACTGGCCTATTCTGGCCCTTGTTGCTGGAAGTATAGCTTGCAGTTTGGTTAATCTTTTTCGAAGGCCACCCGAAGCACACAGGCACACACACTCACACCACAGCATCGCCTTGAGTCAACTTGCCAGCGGCCGGGTTCGGAACGACATGGAGGAGTCTCGTTAGTGCAAGGCGGCTACACTGCCTGGAGTTTCGGCAGTGGAGACTGGTCACGATACCCAGCTGGGACTGAAGACGCTGTTCCCGCAAGAATCCTGCGGATCTCCCTCACCATTGTGGTCGGCGTCTTCATTCCTGTGCAAGTACCACGCCGGGCTGGCAGAAGCACTGCTACCGTTGCTTCGCAACAGCGGCACTGCTTCGGACTACCGAGGTATCTGCAAAATCTCGGTGCTGGAAAGGGCGAGGCTTGCCAGCCCTGAAGTTGCTGCTGGCACAGGCGATGACTTCAGGCCGTAGGATTCATTGTAAGGCCGTGGTCAGCAAGATGCTTCTATGACATGTTATGTTGTTGCGTCCTTCACTGTGTCCTAGATGCTGTACTCTCAGCAGCAATATGTAGTGTATCACTGCTTAGAGGATTCCGGCTTTGGTTGCAGAAAGACTAATTTGATGAAGCCTCCCATCCTCTTGCCCTTGCAGCTGGCGAGCAGCATGCTCACAATGGTCTACTGCTTCTTCTTGTCCCCCTTCTTCTCGCCGTTCTTGGCATCGCCGTTCTTTGCGTTGCCGTTCTTTGCATCGCCATTCTTCTTGTGCTTCATCCTCATCGGCCACAGATGAAATGAGCTGCGATTCTCAGGGGGCTGTGGTCAGCATCGACAGCGTGTTACGGGATCGCACATCTGTTGACACGAACGGGCTCCATTCATTGCTCATGAAAACAACAGTCACATCAGGCCCGTTTCTATGACTTGCAATCGCAACTGCAGAGAACTGGCCAAGCAGCTATTGGGGTGATGCCGTTGCAGTCTGCGGCTCAGGTTTCTCGCTGGGTCATGTGAAGTACAGAAGAAAGGAACAGGCAATGTCTGGTGTAGCAACAGGAGCTGCGCTGTACATCCTGCACCTGCTTCTTCTGCGTGTGCACGCAGACGGTCGCACGCACAACCAGCACGTGCAACAGGACAAGTCAAGCCAATCGAAAGGAAAGCTGTGGGCCCCGGCAGCTTCTCGCTGATCTCTGCGATGACGGATGCAAAGACCTTGGAACGAGTGCTTGTCGCGAGAAAGCAGGCTCAAAGCTTGGACCTTGAAGGACCTGAGGGCCAAAGGAGACGATATCGGTGGGATGCAAAATGAGACACACACCGCAGATCTGGACTGAGCTCAAGGAAATGTCTGGAGCGACAGGCAACATGCGCAATGCTGATTTTGCAGCTCCTAGAAGCCAAAACCCAGCCTTACCCCAAAGCCTGCATTGGCTGTGATGAGGCCACCGCAAGTCCGACAAAGACCCACTGCATGCTGGCCATGCTATGGCCTGCAACGAGTATGGACACGATGGTCGTTGGGGGTTTTGGGGGAGTTCAGGCTCCGGCCCCAAAGTTGCGGAGTTAAAGCCTTACAGGCCCTTCTGAGACCCTACCAGGCCCTGGAAACACCGTGTAAGACTCTGCGAAGCCCCTCGTGAACCCTGAACAAGCATTCAGGTCCGACACCTGAGCCCGCAGCCCAGAGGTCCTGTGGCTTCGAAGACCCAAGCGCCACACTGGGCCCCCCGCCAAACCACACGATGGAGATCAGAACCGTGGCCATCTTCCCTCGGCACGGAAGTGGGATGCTTCCTGCCCCTCTGGCTATAGGGACTTGAGACTTGTGCCCCAGCGTTCCGACGATGTCTTCAGGGCGTGAATCACCACGGGGTCTGCAGAACGGGAAGTCAAACTGGGGTCTAAGTCTTTGGGAATCAAATTAGCAAGCTCTAAACCAAAAACACCTGCGATACAATCCTTCGTAAGATGTAGAAAACCATGGCGGCTCCGAAACGCTTTCGATTCCCGGGGCGAAGCCGCGAAGGCTTGTGGTGCAGTGTAAACGGCTTAAGTTTCGGGCGTTTCGGGCTCAGGGGATGAACACCCGGCTTCAGGGGTGGGAGAGTAGGGCTGCGTGCCAAAAAACAAATTGGTGACATCCAGTCCTGCTCACAAGGGTAGGGAGAGGATACCCTGCAAGCACCTGGAAGACTGCAATCCTGTACTTACTATATAACAGAAACTTCTGTGCCTTACAACCCTCCTTTCCTGCGAAAGTACACAGCTTCAAGGGGAGGAAGAGCTTCGAGGTGGGACGATCCCAGTTGTCCGGGTGGGCGAGGACCCCGCGAATGGTCGTGATCTTGGCATTCGTGTCGGGTCCAAACCAAGAAATGGTCAAGAAGATGAACACCTGGCCCATGGATCCGTGCAATGTCGGAATCCTTTGTCTAATCGGTTCAAGCACCAGCATCATGAGCAGCAGCAGCAGCAGCAGCAGCAGCAGCAGCATCATCTTCTTGTTAATCAACAACATCTTATTCTCATTCATCTCTAGTCTGGCCTGCAGCTTCACGGCCACGGCCACAACAGAAGCAACAACAGCGAGGGAGACTAATTACAAGAAGAAGAAGAAGAAAAAGAAGAAGCAACCTCACCATGAGCTTACCATTGTTGATATTCTTGTACCAGTGTCCCTATCCATCTTCTTTCTCGCTACAACCACGAGCATCAAGCTACAATGCCGTTATCATCATCCTCTTCGTCATCATCCTCGACATCACCACTACTACCAGCACCATCATCAGCACCACAACCACTGCCTCCAGCATAATCACCACTAGCATCACCACCGTCGCCACCACCAACAACAACCACGACGCCACAACCAGCATCATCACCATCATCATCAACACCATTAGCACATATTAATAGTACCCTCCTCCTCCTCCTCTTCCTCTTCCTGCCTCCTCCGCCTCCACATCATCACTCACATTGTCATGGACATCGCCACCGCTGCTGCCGCCGCCACCGCCACAACAAACACCGCCACCGGCACCACTACCACCATCAGCGTGTTTCGTGTATCCTCTTGCTGCTCCCATAGCTGTCTCGTTTTAGCCAAGACCTTGGCCTGTGCCGTGACCCAGGCGAGTTGGCCCATAATCTGGACACAAACCCTTCGACCATCGGACGGCATTCATGTCGTGCTGAGGCAGCTCACGATGTGTCCGTGAGATGTCCGGCCCGGCCATGAGCTCGAAGATTGCTTCGTCAAAATATCGTGGTAGGCACTAAGAGTAAGAGCCGCCTGCCCACCCCGCCCTGCGCAAAGCACTCACCTAGCCAAAAACGCCTGCCCCAGCGCCGAGCAGATGGCGAAGATGGCAATCTGCAACGAAGTGGAGGCTCGAGAGCTTCGAATTCGGGAGTTCAGAATGTGGTGTTCAGGACTTGGGCTTTAGATTCTCGGAGCTTTGCCCAATGGGGCATGGGGACTTGGGCCTCAAGCTTCTACCGACCCGAATCTGTTGCAGGCATGCGACCAAAAAACGCAAATCTTGAAGGAATTGATCTTCAGTGCTCTTGGCGCGCTGTATTTCCGAGGTAGTGCTAGGGGCTGCGCTCCAGGATTCGGGGCTCACCCGAGCTGAGCGGCAGGAGTGGGATGCTTCTCTAGCTGTGTCTCGAAACCAACCATCTGCTTCCGTGCTCGATGATCGTAGAAAAGAGCGGAAATATCTGAAGACAGCAGCAGCAGCAGCAGCAGCAGCAGCAGCAGCAGCAGCAGCAGCAGCAGCAGCAGGAGCAGGGTCGTCGTCGTAGTCGTAGTCGCAGTCGTAGGAGTAGAGTAGGAGTAGGAGTCGTAGGCGGTCGTGGTCGTGGTAGTGGCAGTAGATGGTCATGGCGGCAGAAGTAGCACACGAGTAGCAGCACCCTCAGAACAGCAGCACCACTGATTCTGCCAGTGGCTCAGCAACAACGAGGACAACTACCACCACCACCACTGCTGCTGCTGCAGCTGCTGCTTCTCGTCCATACCATCCTTCTAGGGAAAACCCGGGACTCAGGGGTTCAGTCTTCAAGATGCAATGCGCTGAAGACTTGCAGATGAACTCGGAGCCACCTCATCAAGAATCGTGAAGTTCTCGAAGAGAAACTTGACACCTTGATCTGCAACGGCCCACTTTCTTTAATTATGGACGGACAAACATGAAACCATGCCTTGAAATCTGTCGGCGTATCACACTTTGTGGCTTGGGGCTGCTGTGCTGAGCCCGTCTGCCTGCGTTCAGCTGGCCAGTCAGGAATGCAACCTTGACAGCGCAATGGTTTCCCGCTGCTTTGATACTAGATTCTACATGTTACTGTTACTACCTGGCTAGCTGCAGGAAGACAGAGCATACTTCTCCGGAGCCCACATGCGTGAAGCCGAACGCAAGTGGAAATTGCAAAGGCAGCTTAAACAGGCCTCCGAGATGCCACAGTGCCCTGCAGTGAGCTCCATGCCGACACTGTGTCTCTCTTCCTTGCACAACCGCACCTGCCTGCGCATATTGAAGACAGCCCTTCAAGGTGTCCAGAATGCCAAGCCCTTCTGAAACCGCTGTAGCGGGAAAGATCCCTAGTCGAGGGTACAGTCATCCCTGTTAGATATTCGGTGCGAACCGCTCGGCCATTTCTCTCATCTTCTTGGACCACTACCGTCACTAAGAGTCTGTCCAGGTGCTCGGCGGAACGGGAGTGCTTGTTTCAACATGGCCTAGTCTTCGGCACGGGTCGTCAGAGGTACAGTTTTACCTCCAAGATAAGGACCTCTTTCCGCATACGGATTGCCGTGTAACTACAAAGGAAATCTTTAGTGTTGAACCGATGAGCTTTGATCCCGGGAAGCCTGAACACTACGATCCAAAATTCACAAACACCTAGACCCTGAACCCCAGAGTCAGAGCTTGCGCTGGGAACGCCGCCGGAAGCAGAAGCAGCGCTGCCCCTGCATTTGTCATGAACATCTGCTCGTACCTGGCGGTGGAGCCTCTACCCTTGGAGATTTAGGGCTTGACTCCTCCGAGCAACGAGCGCAACGCGGACACGTCAAGACCAGCACCAATCTAATCATGTACCTACTAGCGACACACTGTGATGATGGTGATGATCATCATGATCATCATCATGACGATGATGATGACGATGATGATGATGATGATGGTGATGATGATGATGATGATGCCAGCAATCAGATTAAACCCTCAGGTCTGTATCGCGCTACCAGAGCCACGTGGCGGCTGATAAGACTAGGATTCCTCACGTCCAACTTGTACGGATCTTCAAAGATTAAAGCTTTTTGCACGCCTGGCGACCCCTTGACCCGAGATCACTCCTACAAAACCCCAACACACCGCACACAGAGGGCTGAACCTGGACCTTGCACCCGAAATGCACGATGCCCATCTTACATCTTGTTATGCCAAAATGCAAGATCTTACCCGCTGCCCTGTCATGTCTACTTATGTTGTTTGTAGTTTTACATGAGATTCCACTACGTATGCCGAATGGCGTCCGGCTTTCGCATACCATGTCATCCTAACCCCAAAAGCCCTTAACCCATATGGGTAGTTGTCAAAATTATGGTCCCTTTGGGGTACCCTAAAAAAATAGGTGCCGTATTATCATAAGGAACCAAGAAGGGACCATAATTTTGACAACCACCCATATTACGCCGTCTTCCGTCGGTCACGGTGAGAGCTGCGCAGTCTGACTTCTCATCTTCTCCTGCGCTGCGGAGACGGTGCCATCGCCTTTGCCAGACAGGATCGGACGGCGCTAGGGCTTTAGGGGCTGTAAGCGCTTGGGCTTTCGGATTTAGGGTTTTGACAGTGTTGCTTCTCGACGTCTTGGAAGACTTCTGCAGGGCTTTCAGACCTCAAGTCGCTGTTTTGAGAAGTCTTCGGGCATGAGTGGAACCTTGAAAAGACGACCGCCCCTGGGGGGTTCTTTCCAGAGGCGTACATGCATCTTTGTTTGGGGCAAACGGGTTTTGGCGCTCATCAACCTTAGCCTTGACCTCACTTCGGAACTGCGAGCATCTTCCACCGGGAAAGGCAACTCCTGAACTCTTCAGTGTCAGGTTGTTGTACTGATAGAGATCACCAGAGTCCTACCACCAAATCCCTTAAACCCAGAAACCTCGTAGAGCCGGGACCCCAAAAAATCGCTCTCAGCTGCTCGCAGAGAAGCGACACCACGAGAAGGAGAACTCCGAGGGGCTTCGCCTGCTCTCCCACACTCCCTTCACCCTTGTAGGGGTTGCTCACGCTCTCGCTCTTTCTTTAGGGCTAGGGACAAGGGGAAAGACCCCCTTCTTCCACACAGTCAAGAGCACGGCAAGGCACCGCACTCTGCGCGCGAGCGCGCACTGTCTGTACGTCACAAGTAAGACTGCTATCCCGTCTTTCCCCTTCTCTCTCTCTCTCTCTCGCTGCCTCTGTCTCTCTGTCGGTCAGGGGGTGAACCCCTGCTGGAAGCACGCCCCTTCTTCTTCTTCCGTCGGGTTCGGGCTAGCGTCGCTAACCCGCGCCGAGGCGCACCCCTCCCTGTTTAGTTTGTGGGGAAGCGGCTTTGGGGCTTCGAGGACGGTCTTCGCCCCCAAGGTCAGTACCAACGGGAGCGTGAAGTTGCTCCAAAGCCCCTCTGAAACGAAAAAAAGGCGTCATCTCCGCGCCCGCTACGGCTATATCCTCTGCAGCAACCTGCTCTCCCCTGGTAGTGTACTATGGTAGGCGACAGCTTCCGCCTTCATCATTGCAAAGACTAAGGGCCTCACCACACTTATGAATTCCCTCCCTCTGTCTGTCTCTCTGTCTCTGTCTATGTCTCTGTATGTGCCTGTCCGTGCCCGTGTCTGTGTCTGTGTCCGTGTCTGTGTCTGTCTCAGTTTTGCTTTGCCAGGGATTTAGACTGAAGGCAAAGGTGATTCGTTAAGATCAACAGGGCTGTAATTATGTTGAAGCTTTGGCCCTTCAAGCAACTTTGCTAGCGGGGGCATCATAAGATGTTGTCGAGCAACCTAAGCAAAGGATGTTACCGATAAAGGAGCATCCCGAATGAAGTTATAAGTGTGGCTCCGGCGAGTGCGCATTCCTCACAAGCTCCACCTTGGTCACCTGCCTTCCCCAAACTGCTTGCAGTGTTGCATTTTGCCTGCTCTGCTGCCCGCCTGAGCCTTCCCTTAACCTTTGCCTGCCAGGTTGGCACAGACTACTCTATGCCAACCTTGCAGTCTGCAAGCTAAAGAGAGGTGAGCTCTCCAAAGGAAGGGCAAGACCTGGGGACTCTGTCTCTGTCTCTGTCTCTGTGAGTCTGTGTCTGAATGTGTCTGTCTGCGTATGTGTCGTGCATGCATGCATGCGCGAAAGACGGTACACTAGAGCAGAACAAGGTAGTAGAAACAGGGTGGAGCAGAACCGGATGCACCACACTGAATGGAATATCCGTGATGATGGGCCACTGCTAAGCTCAGCTCAGACCAGCTAAGCAACGTTCCAAAGGGAACGTCGGACAAGATTCTGATTCAATAACACAGCATAAACGCATGAAGGCAAGGCACCAAAAGAAATGCCGAGCAGCATGCAGCACGGCACAGCTTAGCTTGCTGTGACACAACTGCTAAGGAAAAGGAAAAGGGTTTGGATTCCAGGCGCGTGGGAAACAAAAACCTAACGCAAAGCTGCCCCAGACATCTCGAAATCCTTCCACACTAGCAATGGTTCAACACAGGCCACTGTCGAATGAAGGCCGTTGAAAAACAGCTTTGTGGTAGCTTCCATATGCTTCAACGAACGGAGGGAAGAAAAGGACCTTAGCCGCAGCCTTAGATTCTCATAAACAGATCCTGGGATGGGCCCGCTTGCCTAGAAGCTATCAAGATCCTGTTAACCATCCCCTTACACGCGACCCGGAGCCTCGATGTCTCCTCCCTTCTTACCCGACATGGAGAAGCCGGCAGTCCCCAGCCTAAAGGTGGCTCAGGGGGCTTCGGGATCAGTGTGATGAAGCCGGAGTTCAGGGAGGGGAGGCCGGGCCTGTTTGTCAAGAAGGCGTGGTCATGAAAAAGCACTAGATCAGCCAGAAATCACAAAAGCGAAGCGCCAGGTTTGCCTCTCTCACAGAACAGGTTTGTAATTGCGGCAGCCCAGGGCACTGGCTAGATCGGCCCTTGCAACCGGAGGGAGTCTTGTCAAGGCTTCGGCGTGATGCCAAACGCTGCGATCCACTGCAGTGTGGTAATTCGCTTACCTGGCCGCACTTGACCTAAAAAGGGGCCCTAATTTGGAGAACTAACCATANNTACCTATAGTCTCCATTGTAGTTGCCGAGAACATGTTCCATAGCCAGCAGGCGAGTGCTCGTGCATTCCGGCTCATGAAACTCCTGATCCATCTGCTGTGCAACATACTGTAGACCTCGTGAAATTCTGACCTCACCGTAACCGCGCGAAGCGTGACCACTCCAGAGGCAGCCAAGCATGGCAGGCAAGGTCTTCGAGGACTTCGCCAGCGCCTGAGGCGAAGAGGGGTTGTTCCCCTCCTCATCTCTTGCGTAACCCTAAACCCTTGGGCTGGGCCGTCTGCTCACTAAAGGTCCCATAAAGGCCCGCCCCCCCCCCCCCCCCCCCACTCCGCTACCCCAAAGGGGAGCGCCTGGATGGGGTAGGACACCGACTTCAGCGCCTCGTTGGAAGCAAACTTCGCTCCGCACTGAGCGCCTCGGGGCTGACTGGTCCGGAAATCCGAGTGCAAAAGGATCCTGCTTAAAGGATCGTGGGACTTGGTAAG